CACGCCGGGTTCGGCGCCCCGGACGCGCCGGACCTGGTCAACTTTGGGGTGTGGGGGCCGCTGCGGCGCTGCCCCCGGCGCGCGCAGGTCGTCGAGGCGAACCGCGCGCTCGAGCGCAAAGTCGCCGAGCTCGGGGGCAAGAAGTGGCTCTACGCGCACGCCTACTACACCGAGGAGGAGTTCTGGGCGCACTACGACCGGCCTGCGTACGACGCGCTGCGGGCCAAGTACGCCGCGTCGCATCTGCCCAGCGTCTACGACAAGGTGCGCGTCGACGTCGACGCCGAGGAGGCCGCGAGGCGGAGGAGCCGGCGGGCCAGGGCGCGCGGCGCGCTGGGACGTGTCTGGCCGTTGAGGGGGCTGAAGGGGTTCTGGGCCGCCGCCAGGGGAGGCGATTACCTGCTGAAGAGGACATCGAGGAGGAAGCCGGACACGGGGGAGACGGAGCGCAGGTAGGGTTATGTTAATTGGCTTTTTTTGGCATTGTAGAGGATGCTTTTGATACACGACGTTTTCCACCACGTCATACATTTCCAACCGGTGACCTTTGCCATACACTCTGCACCATTCCGGCCCGTTAGTCGTGTCGGAAACTGCCCTGGTCCGTCTTTTGCCGCCCGCTCATCTCCTTCATCGTCTTGGAGGCCTGCTCGGCAACCTGCTGGCCGACCTTGGCGCCGAGCTGCTCGGCGTCTTTGCTGACGGCCGTCAGGTCCTCCAGCTCCGCCTGGCTCGGGTTCCTGGCGTCTGTCTGCCGGGCCTTGTCCACCGACGCCCCGGGCGAGCTGAGGTATGCGTAGGCGGCGACTGCTGCGAGAGCCGCGCCCCCGACGGGCACCCTGTGACGCGGCGCGCGTGTTAGTCTGGCCCCTTCGGCCCTCTGGCTGTCTACGGGAAGCCTACCAGTTTCTCTTGACGGCCTCGGGCCCGCCTGGGTTGGGCGGCGGCGGCTGCTGTCCGCCGGGGCCGCCGAGGTCGCCGTCCTTGGAGGTGATTTTGTGTCGGAGCTGTGCTGCCGTGACCCGTGGCGAGGTGGCCCGCGATGCCGCTGGGCGGATGTGGTTGCGCAGCAGGCCGGCGGGAACTCTGGGCAGTGCCATGATGATGTATTTCTTCTGAATCAAGCGGTATCTTTTAAAAGAGCTTCGTGTCTTGATGAGACGCTGTGTTGCGCAAGCGTCAGCCTGGGTTTCTCGACGTTTAAATCGTCTGGCCGTGGCGACCTACGGACTGCGCATCTCGATGACCTCAGAGTCGAATGGCCATGATGCGCCTATGACGAGGGGGCCGTCGGCCTGCATGAGACGTGGGTGCGGCGAGCGCCACACGCTGGATCTGATTGATATGGAAGAGTCGAGACTGCGCGATGCTTCCCGAAACGGCTGCGGCTTGATGGAATGGGGTGAAGTTCTATTTGTATCCGAGGGACACGTCAACCTTTGTGAGTGATGCCGAGGTTGTGCGCGGCGTTCTAGTGTAGATGTATTATTCCAAATGCATACCTCTATTATCGATAATCGGCATCGTACTCTTTTATTTCTCTTGTATTCAATCTTCTTCTTCCGTGCAATTTCGTCATGACCTCACCCGCGGGCCTCGCCCCGGCGCCGTGCCGAATCCCCCCGTCGCCACACATCTCGATTCTCAACACTCGTCCTGGCGAATAATGACGTCCCAGTTCTCGGTCGAAAACGCCTGCCCCGTCATGTACTTGTCCGCGTAAGGGCGCCCCGTCGAGCACTTCCACACCATCAGCTGCGCGCTGTCCGCGATGTCGTCCCAGCTACCCAGCGCCCGCGCAAAAGGCGCCTACCCGTCCGTTGCCACGACAGTCAGCCAACTTTGCCTTCCACGTAGACTCTGCACCCGCCGACACGGCCGGGAACGGGCAGAAACTTACATTGTTGCACCACCATATGGCCGCCTGGTAGGAACAGCTGACGCGTGAGCAAGTCTCCGGCCCGGGCCCGTTTCTCGGCACCCCGGCCAGGCCCCTGAGGTATTCGATTCCCTGCTCTATCCTGCGGACTTTGCACGGGTGCCAGCCGAGGGCGCCCGCGCCGCAAATGACCTTGCTCCAGTTGAACAGCGGCACACGCTTCGCCAGGTTCCTGCCGCGGGGGTCGGGGACGGTCCTGGGCTTCCACCCGGGGTTCATGGCCCTGGCTGCGTGGTGAACCTGTTCCGCGGTGCCGGTGAGGTTCTCAAAGTGGCCGGGGAAGACTTCCACTTCCCAGGTGAGGTCGACCACGTCGTAGCCGGGGATGGGTGCGTTGGCGAGTCCTGCCATGGCCTTGGGTCATCAGCGTTGAGACGAGTCGCGACTCTTTTTGGGGGGGAGGAGTGGCAGATGTACCTTGAGGGGGAGCGACAAAGCGAGCACGAGACTCTTGAAGATGACCATTTTGATCGACTAGATGGGCAAATGTTGCTGGTGTCTGGCAGAATTGCCCGCCCGCCACTGGCTGCTGGTGTTATATGCTTGGCTGGTGGGATCTGTTTGTGGCCGTGTTTGCGCGGAAATGAACTCAAGGAGCAAACTTGAATATATTTTTACTGTCCAGATGGTTTGCACTTTGGGCACCGGCCACGTACGGCCCCATGAGCCTGGTATTTCCCCGAGTCCACGACTAGGCCAAAGGGCGCGATGGCTAAAACTGGCAAGGCCGAGGGCCCGGAACCATTCATGGTGCGGTTTTAGACTCGTGATGAGTACGCCCTTGAGTATTGTTAGCTTGGTGGGAAGGGCCCAACCTGAGAATGATGTTTGCGATGGATGGATGAGAGAAGGGCAGCGTTTGCAAAGATGATGGCCTCGCGGAGAGAGCGACCACGTTGCCATCTGGTTCGGTGACGAGATTTCAAAAAGATTTCTGTTTTCCCCTTATCTAGGATCCAGTCCCAAGGTGTCGTCGTTTGTGCACATTCGGTGCCATGCGAGATCCAGGAGTAGAGTTGGCGCCGCTGGTGCTGCCAACATGCTATGAGCAGACAAGCCTATTATTAGACTTTGACATGGCGCTCCAGCCCGCACAGAATGGTGTTTCTCTAGTCTCTTGCAGTCACCATCTTGACAGCAACGTGGGCGGCCCGATTGGACGGCATCCCAAGTTCAATGTTCTTGTAGGTGGCGCTTGTCGGGCACTGTCCAGGCAGCGTCGAGGGCACAGCTATTAAAGTCAATTGATGACTGCACGGACATCGGGGCCAAATGAGCAATGGTAATGAGCTCCATCCAGGCCACGACGGCAAGAGACCAGTTGACGTGACATGGCGTATGTGTGCGGATGTCATCAACAGGCTGAAGCGGCCCATTGATGCTTCGTCGTTTGGTGGTTGCTTTTTTGGACCTGGTCTGGGCCTGGAGTTCCCTCAATAAAGAACTTGCTGCCGAACAAGAGAAAGCGTTATATTGACGGGACATATGCATCTGTCGGCCGAGACAAGCGGGCATTCCCCGCCTCAGGAGTTACATTGATGCACAACACTACATCGGTAGCAAAATTACGTCTTGTTTTGGTCCATCATGTTCTCTAGCAAGTCAGTCGAGTATTATTTTGTCAGAATGTACCCAGGAACCATGAATAGAATGATTTGTCACTAAGTTTGCCAACCCCCGCCCCCCAGCCATCTCAAGCGCACAATATCTCAAGATGCTGCTCTCCTGGTGAACATGGCCGTTTTTTTCTGTTTACGTCATTTAGCCCAGTAATAAGGAATATTTTCCCTTGGCTGGTGTTGGATGTTGGTGCCCTTGCTAGAACATTAACTGTCATCCGGACGGTTGTGCCGCGCCTCGGCCTGTGCCGTGTTCGATGCTCATGTACTACATGCAGCATTGCGCAGTGCTACACAACGATGGCAAATGCAATACGAGTTGCGAGATTTCTCCTGCATTGGCCCTAGCATTCGATGCAACCGCAGCGGCTACAATCCATTCTCCTGACAAGGATTAACAAGTACATATATCCCCAAGTCGGCTCCTGGTCTGGCCACACGCCCAGAACTCTCAAACTCTGATTTACTCACATCGTCTGTTACAAAGAGGCCAAAAGCCAATCTCCACGACCCGTTTGCCCTCCATATAAAAATGGCCAACGATACATCCGTACAAGTCACCGGCAACGTGGCCGAAATCAACTTTGGCAACGACTGGGCCCAGCAGCATCTCAAGGTCAAGACAAATTCCAAGTCCGTCCAAAATGTGCAAATCAAAGTCGACGACCAAGAGTTTCAGGTTAGCGGCAGCGGAGAGCGCCACAACCTCATTTTCGACCGCCAGTTGGACACGCCCTGCAAAAAGATTTCGGCCACGTTCACGTACCAGGCTGCGAACGGGGACAAACTCGCGTCTAAACTGAAGTTTGGGGGCCCTTACGACATTGGCCGCTATAAAACTATTACTGTGGTTGCCGAGAACGGGGACGACATCGACTACAACGATGCAATTTTTGAGATTTCAGGTCATTCAAAGTGATTACTAGAGAGGCTCGTCAAGGTTGTCCTCTGCCAATTGAGCTAGTCTCCTGAACAAATATAGTGCTTGAATACAAGGGGTTGTATCTTTTGAAGAAATATCTCTGTGTACATTGGCCGACGTTGTGCCGTGCGTTGTTTTGTGTTGCGAGGAAAAGCAAAATCTAGCAGAATTAGACGTCGCTTTGTGTGAGGCCTCTGCCTTTGGCAGAGCCGTTAAAACATCTTGGTCAAGCTTCCTGCAGCCAGATGAACTGCTTTAGCATGATTGGTCCGTACACCGGTCCGTCATGTCTGGTGTCAATGGGACATTTGTGTGGCGGGGGCTCGTTTTGGGGGCTTGAAGCAATGCTTAATTCATGGATAACAGTCTTTGGTATCAATGGTCCTTGGTTTTCCTCAAGGCCTCGTTGACCAAAGACCTCTTTCAATATAAGAAGTGACTTAATCCCGTGAACGTAGCCCTTGTGTAGCCTTTAACATTGGGCCATTTCCGTGTAACAGTCTTGGGTTGCCGTTGTGAGATTGTGTAATATCGACTATTTTGAGCAGAAATCTAGTTCAAGTCAAGTGATGATAGTTCCTGCCGCTATCGCGTTTTGCTATAATCTCCACACAGCTTTATTATGTCCGGTCAAGTGTAGTGATAATTTCTATAGCAGAAGATAAAGTCTATCGCAGAGTATATGCAATACTAACAAATACCTATTAATATACCATAATATATTACAATATATTATAGATACTATAGTACATAAATTTAAGAATATGCTTAGTTAGCTACTAGTACTTTTATTTATTAATAATTCGTTTATTCGTTTACATGCATTCGTCAGTTCGTCTATTCATGTCTTTTTTACTTCTCTTCCTTTTAGCTCTCACGTTCGACTTTGGCCACCGACTCGCACGTTCTAAAGCTCGCACCGCCCCCAAAAACAATTCTTTTTTCAACCTCTTCATAAGAACCTATTTTGGCAATATACCACGCTCGCCATGAAGCCAGAAGCCTAGGTACGTCTTTTAAGCGCAAGCAGAGTACATCAGAATGGGATGCCGTGAGGGTGAATATGTGGAGGACTCCGGTCCTATGTCGCTCGTTTTTTTTTCCTTTGTCTTTTGTCGCTCCTGTTGTTTTTTCATTTGTATATAGTATTGATAGATAGCATCATTAATAAAGGGTGGGCGGTTTGCACCTCATGGTGGTTGCTGGGTCTAGTAGCCTTCAAAGGTGGCCCCTTTGAAGGTGAAGCCAACGCAAACATCACGTAAATAGTTAGACAGTCAAAAGAAATCATGCTTTCTCTTGAGGCTCTTGAATTTATTCTTGCCCTTCTCGATCTGAAACACTTCAGGGCGGCGGGCTTGGGTTTTTTCTTCCATGCACCTGTACATGGCGCCAATGCGATTATTCTCGGCGCATTGTGACTCTGTCCTCTTGCCAAGCCGTTCATACTCTTGCTCATATAGCCGCCAGGCAGTCCCTGGCTCACAATATCGATACATGTAGCCAAACGGGACAAAAACGTCGTGTAGGATGTGAGAGTGTGACGCCCAGGTCGGGTAAAGGGGGAAGCATTGGCCTCCCAGGTCCTGCCAAGTTCTCAGCAAAAGACGACGCACTCCACTGCCCTTGATGTCCAACTTTGATCGTGCTCCTTTTGGTGTCTCCAAGGCCATGATCTTGACGGAAAAGTCGGTACGACAGAGTGTGCACGCCCCGAAGGTGTGTTTGCTGGGGGATGCAATCGCCATCTGCACAGCCTTGCACAGGGCATATTCGTGCCGCTGAGGTGATAGTACCTCGAAGAAAGGCCCTTGAGATTTCACAGATGCCTGGGAGACCTCCTTCTCAAACGCCTCAAACTTCCTTTCGCTGTATCGCTGGTGCGGGCAGATTTGCATGTCCCAATATGGCGCGGGTTCCGTCTGCTTGGCTGGACGGTAGAGCCAGGATCTATGCAGCACCACCCTTCGATCGAAGCCCAAAGGATGGAATGCGGCCTCGACGCTACACCCCATTCGAGAATTCTTGACAGCCCGAGTAATTTGGCGGCGTTGCAGGAGACGGTCCCTGTACCCTGAATGCTCGTTGCTTCGCGCCGCTTTAAGATAGAATGGAGATGCCTGTAGGAAAAAATCCAGGGGAATGCATCCGAAACTTCTGGCATCCACATGGGGCTGGGCACAGATTGGCCTCCTCGGGGCGCCGGGCGTATCTCTCCTATCGACACGGTGAAGACGGAAACAAAGATCGCATATCCAAAAGTCGCGGAGTATCAAAGACAGGACATGTGTCCTCACCATGTGGGTAGACATGCGGTAGAATAGAGGGCTGTATCCCCTCGTCGACATTTCCCGAAAGATGGTGCATGTGTTTCTGAATGAGACCTGGTCCTTTGTAGATAAGTTGGCCACGATGCCCATCACAATCTTCAATGGCATTTGGCAAATGCGAGCTACAGGCTCAGTCTTTGGGCGTGATGCACTGCTCTTATAATGCACGAGGAGCTTCAATTTTTCAACAAGATTTGTGGTGGGGGGCTCGGGGGGCTGGTCTCTTTCCGATCTGTGATGTGGGAACTTGGTGAACTGGCTGGATGGCCGCGGATGACGGAGCGGAGGACAGAGAGGAGGTCTCTTATTGATGAACAAGCCGCTTTCTCGTAGTTGGCTGAAGAGAGGCATTGCTAGGACTGGTGCTAGAAGTCTAGCCTCGGATGAAACATCCCGCAAGAGGTGCAGTGTGTAGAGGAGTGGCGTGTGTCGCAGAGAAATGCAAAGAGGGACTTAGGGAATATCCAAGTTGAACAAGAAGAGAAGACCAAGACAGCTTCTTTTATAATGGAAGCCCGGTGGCCCGGTATAAAATGTCCCAAGTTTGAAAAGGCGTGGCTGGTGAAGTTAAAATGCATGGCTGACGCTCTGTTTAGTATCTTAAATCCGCCGAGCGCAAAAATTAAGTTTGGGTATCTACTTAGCATCTTGCAAATCACTGCAAGTGGCTTGGAACCGAGACGTGTGGCATATCTTAGCACCGACCTAGCAACCAAGCTTTGCCATGTTGTCCCATGGCATGAGTCGAGTTTGTTAGCATAGACTAGTTTGTTGGCCCAGGAGCAACAAGATAGATTGAACATAAAGTCAAACACGTCACACATTGTCAAACGCGAAACATGCGGGATTAAAAAGGCACGCTTGCAATCTGCATGCCGGGGGATATTTGGCCAGGGGCCGCGATTTCTGCGTCTTTTTGCCCGATGCTCAGTGATTAAATCCGACAACAAGCGTGACAGGTAACCAGCTGCAACATGTTGGCATATCGGTACATGTGCTGTAGCCACAATTCTTTTCATCATTGACGTTTAGCTCGGCACGGCTTGTGCCTAGTAAAGGCCGCTTAAACGAAAACAGGAAAAAAGTCCGACACCACGAATAATGTATAAATGCTTAACAACCAGCGCCTCGATTTTACACTAGTCTAAATTGGGGCGCTAGAAGAGTCCAACGCTACAGGCGATAATTTAACAACTATCGGGCGAGAGAATGTGGAACGACGGGCCCTGCACCGAACGGCCCGGAAGCTCGGCCATCTCTTGGACGACGTGGCTCCGTCGGCCCCACATCTGCCCCGGGCCTACGGACTGCACGTGTCCGAGATCAGCGAGCAGGAGAAGATTGATCCGACGGAGCGCATCCGTCACTGCATGTATCACCATGGCACAGTTCACTCATGTCCTGTTAGGCCGCGTTGTGTCAAGCCGGGGCCATTACCGGTAATCCATCCCTGGTGCCATGGACCTGCTAAGCTGTACGATCGCCTGAGAGAGTTGACCCACCCGTACGAGAGCATCTAATCAATGCATGAGTTTGACAGCCCGGCAAATTCAAGCAAGGCGTCTGCTCCTGTCACCCGGCGGCCCGTGATACTGACTGTACTTGCACCTGGTCGAGCTCGGCTGCGCGAGCTCGGCTCCGAGGAATGCCTCTGTTGTAAGGAAAAACAAAAGATCTACCAAAATAAGACCTCCACTTTTGGCAGAGTCGTTAAAATACCCTTTTGAACCAAGATGTGTCGAGATTGAGAGGCTGGACGAATGCAGTTCTAGTATTTGCTCGTCGCATCCCAACGGGCTCCAAGTCAAATCGACTTTTGGTCTCGGGGGCGATATGAGTGACTGCCAGTGGCAACCGCCCGTCATGCAATTATCAACTTGAAGCTGCGATATCCCGATTGAATATCGTTGCTCGACACTCTACAGGAAAGGTCCCCAATATTCCATATCCGGCTAATAGAGTGCGTCAGTGGTGCACGCTTGTACTTGTGACTCACGGGTGCTACCATCACCCTCTCCACCCTGTATCAACTTACTCCGGAAGAGGCTCCTTGGACTATGTAGCTCCAAACGTAGACTCGGCGAGAGCTTGAAAGCCTTGAGAATCCCTCGGTGAATTCTACGCCATTCTTTCATGATGACGAGTCGGATGATCCGGAAGTGGATGAGTCCACTATTGATGACTATAATGATCATGATTCTGATGGCTGTGAAGACGATGATGGTGCTGAAGATGAAGTAGTTTAATGGTCGAAGTCTTACCACAACAAGGGTGTATCCTGGTTTTGTAAAGTCAACCACATGCACGGCAAATCAGGATGATCTTGACGAGCGTCTCCATCCGGAATCTACTCCCAACAAACACAAGGCTGGAAAGAATGGTGGTACTAGGGCGCGACAAGTCGGATATATGCTGGGAATGACAGAAACAAGAAACACTAGAGAAGAAACGGGCAGTTTTCTCGAGGGCATTGTAGTCTTGTTGTAGGCCCATTGACTACAGCGAAATTGGAGTAGAAAAGTTGGTTACCAATGGATGGGAAGGGATTCAGAGGCTGTCATGGTGCCGCTCCGGGAATGGGCAGTAGCAGAGCATCTCCAATACATGCGATTGTAAGTTTTGTTTTATGTTATACTTGTCGAGAACATATAACGTAATTCAAGACTTTATTCGATATGGAATAATGTGTAGAAAAAAAGTATACATAGATAGAAACAATCGATTACTTTCTCCATGTCGTCGACCTAAGATGCGGAGCACGATAATTCGGATGCTGTCTGACATATTTTGCACATATTGACTACATACGGGACCTGGGGCCAAGCCAAGACGGGCGTTTCGGGCGGCCTTACGGACATTGCATGCTGCCCTGCTGGCCCGCCGCCATGCCAAGGCTGTCATGGTCTTAGCAGCATGACATGGATTGCTTGGGGCTCTCGGCAAATACGACTGATTGGCACATGGCTCACATGCCGTATAAGTCAGCATCGGGCCTCCGGCTTGCCGTTTCCCAAGTGCAGACATGGCCATCAACTTTTCAGTACGTCATTGTGGTCGACGACTTGTTGATTCTAGGAATTTTTCCACCCTTGAGATTATATTGTTGTCGCTATGAGGATATCTAGCGATCCCTGGCCAGTAGACATTATCCCGATACATGTCTGACAGTACACTAATTTTCGGGAGACTACGCAAACGCTAGTCGAGAAGCATTTTTAGGTGACCATTTTTAGACGCACGCATGTGGCAGCAAGGATTTGTAAGCAGTCGTGGACAACATTGGACCAATTAAGCTTGTTGTACAGTGCCCGTACGGTACGCAGGACAGTGTACCAGACGACACGGGCTTGCCAGGACCAACCAGACCGGGTTCCAACGAGAACTTGGCTCTGCTGCAGAGCCCCGTCCGTTGGTCCCGTGCAATCCTCGAGATGCTCAAGTGCACCCTCAGCGAGTAAAGACCTCCCTACTGAAGCCGCACGTGCGTGATTAAAGGACCAAATGTGCATGGAAAACAACGGTGCGGGTGGAGCGGAGTGGGCCGTCAAGAAAAAGGTCGGGCGGGAAGAAAGAAATTTTTCAAGCTGTCAAGTCGAAATGAAATGTGGCGGATAACGCCTTGCGCGCTAAACCCGTCTTGGCCAGAGCCAGGGGTTCAACGGGCCAACGGGCCTGGTCTGGTCTGGTCTGGTCTGGTTCAATTGTGCTCAAGTGCTGCCGTCGCGTCGCATTGAACGCGGGCGGGGCCGTCATTCAACCAGTCTGGTGGCTGCCGTGTGCATTGTTCTCAATGCCTGCTTCTCGTTGGACGCGGAGCGACTCAGGCACGTTACGGGGCATTTGGCATTTCGTATTCCTTATCAGTGTGTGTGGTACGGAGTGCTGCTGGTACTGCTGGTACTACGTACTGCTGTGCTGCTGCTCTGTGCTGCCTGCGGAAGGGGGCGTGTGAGACTGCGAGACACCAGACGAGCGCGGACTGGTTTGTTTCTCCAACCTCCACCACCACCATCACCACCACGACTCTCGACTCGACCCGATGGCCATCCTCGATTAATCCCCCTCACGATAGCAGCCCCGGGCGTGAGGACCTGAGGACCAGCCATAGCCGCCAACAATGGGTCCCCTCCCGATTTTCAAGCGACGATTCTGCGGTCCCAGCATCGTCATTGTCGCGGCCTTTCTCTTCCTCCTTTCCATCGCCACACTGCTGTCTCGGCCAGCCTATCTCGAGCACCTGCCGGACGTGTTGCCCGCTCTCGAGGAGCAATTGCCCAGCTTCGGGGACAGGAATAAATTTGGAAGCCAGACCAACAAGTCGGGCAAGAAGGGATATGTATCATCAAAGAACAGAGCATGGAAATTCAACCCGGTGCGCGATGCCAACAGCTACTCCCTCGATTCCGAGCAGTGTAACATGGCCTTCCCGGGCCTGTTTGCAGAGATTGAGCGAGGAGTCGATGCCCAGAAAGCGAGAGGAAACATTACGCCCAAGCAACTCAACATATCCGAGCGCGGTAGGGGAGCCCTGCGGGGAATGATTGTCGACCAGCAAGTACGTGCTGCCTGTGCCCAACACCATGACCACTCATGCACACCGCTAATGATGCTTTGCGCAGCTCTATATTCTCCAGGAGACAATCCTGGAAAACGAGTACGACACCTCGCGCGCAGTTGCCGTCTTACACGCCATCCACAGGGCCATAGTAACGTCCCCTGAGCCCTTACCCAACATCGAGTTCGCCTTCACAGTCGCCGACGTCGTGCCGGATCCGGAGGAAAACAACTACCCCATCTGGGGCTTGACACGCAAGGCCGAAGACGAGGAGATATGGCTCATGGGCGATTTTGGTTACTGGAGCTGGCCGTTGGATCTTGTGGGGAGCTACGACGAGGTGCGGCGAAAGATGGCCGAGGCCGAGGTCAAGTTTGAACAAAAGACCAAGAAGGCCGTCTGGAGAGGAGCCGTGGCGACCAACGGCCACCGAGAGGAGCTGATCAAGGTGACCAAGGATAAGGAATGGGCCGACGTGCGAGCCATTGTGTGGGCAGGCATCAGTGACCTGGTTTCCGAGGACCAGGCAAAGGCCTTGTCCATGTCGGAACATTGCAAATACCAGTTTGTCATCCATACCGAAGGTAGGTGCCCCATGTGGCGGCTAGCATCATGCGGGCGCACCGCTAACCAGCAACGACAGGGCACAGCTACTCGGGCCGGGGGAAGTATCTCCAGAACTGCAACTCGGTCGTCATCATGCACAAGCGGATGTGGATCGAGCCGCACCACGCGCTGCTGGTGGCGGATGGTCCCAAGCAGAACTTTGTCGAGGTGGCCGAGGACTTCTCCGACCTGGAAGCCAAGGTTACGGAGCTCCTCGCCCACCCAGAGAGAGCCAAGAGGATTGCCCAAAACGGCGCCGACATATTCAGGGACCGATACTTGACCCCGGCATCGCAGGTGTGCTACTGGCGCGAGCTGCTCCGGGGCTGGGCGTCGGTCAGTTTTGAGCCTCAGCTCTGGAACGTGGACAAGGATGGCGCTAGAACAACGATGCGGGGTGTGCCGTTTGAGACGTTTGTGTACGTTCCCTGTCTTGTCCGACATGCTTGCAGCTTCCATTGTTTTGCTAACTTGTTTTTTCTCTACCACAGACTACAGTCCATCATGGTGCAGCCAGCGCCCGCCAAGTGTAAATGGCTGGGCAGGTTTTTGGGTCAGTGTTAATAATGGGGCGCGGAACTCTTTTAGCAGGTTTTAATTTCTTTTTTCTTTGTTCTTTTGTCGTCATGTACAGCTAGCATATACATTTATATAGAGTCTCATGTAATTTGCCGCAAAGATACCCGAATAATAATGCGACTTGGGCTGCACAGGGAGATGGCATCGTACACTGCGTGATTCTGTTTGACGAGGTGCGTTGCAGGCTCAAATACACGTTGTCTCTCACGATGAAACTACCTGGTCAGGAACATTGAAGTCGGAGTTGCATGGTTAGACGCCGCCGTTTTATTCTATGGTCCCAGAGGGCTATATTTTATGGTAATATCGGCTCTTCTTTTTAAATATATAATACACTCGGCACTCTCCGCTACAACCAACCCTAACCCTAACCCTAAGTCAAAGGGCGCATCTGATTTTTAGTGTAACAAGCCTGCCTCTTTGAATGCATCCGCACAGGCGTCCATGGAATCATAACCGTCCTCCTTGCCGTTCCATAGGCAATACTTGCCCACGGGCGGACAAGAGTTGTCAGAACCGAGGCCACGTCTATCACAGAAATCTTTGATCACTCCTTCCAGCCCTTCTGGGAAGTCGCTCACCGTCGGTACGCTGGTTGGCACGGGTCTAGTCGGGCTTGGAACCGCAACGTCTGTTTGCTCTCCCGTTGACGCAGGAGGCTCCGTCTCAAGATTTTCGGTGATCCAATCGATATAGCTGCCGACTCTGGTAAACACGGAGGGCTCCAGGTTGCAATAGTTTCCTCCTGCATCCTTTATAACCGACGACGCGATGCCGATGACGTGTCCCTTGTGGCCGACAAGAGGACCACCGCTATCGTTCTTGCATACATTCCTGCCATTCCCGCCAGCGCATACAATTGTTTCTGCACCAGTCTTGCCTGCCTCCAAGAGGCGGTTCCAGCAGTCTTGGCGTGGACGAATGGAGAGACCAACCTTGCTCAGTTTATCACTGGGCTCAGGTGGGCTACCAAAATCCTTATAGTTTTGTACGCCCCTTGCGTATAGGTCAGCGCCTTTTCCGACCTTCGTATCCTCCAGTGCAGTGCAGCGCAGGCGAGCTTGATGGCAACTTACCAGCCTAGGGCTATTGCCTCGGAAGTGACCTCGGGATCCGAGCCGTTTGCTGCTAGACTCGCATAGGCGATTGTCTCGCTCTCGTCAAATCCCTCCTTCAAGAAGATGAGGCCAATGTCATGAAGAGCGTAAAGACCATAGAAGTGGTAATCAGGGTGCCTTTTCTTGTCCCTAATACCACTATACTTTCCGTCTTTGGTATTATCCTTTCATGACTGTTAGCTTTGGTCTGCGTGTTGATGTTCTTTCCACTCCGGTACGTGGGCAGTCGGGTGCCCATGCAAACAAGCAACTTGATTAATGAACGGGACTGGGTAGACTGACCGCCGTTCCTGCCTTTACGATAGTATTTCGGCCCGCCTCCTCGACGCAATGGGCAGCAGTAAGAACAGTGTACTTGTTGAGCAGAGTGCCTCCGCAAAACGCACCCATTTGGATGCTGACCACGGATCGAAATTCACCTTGGTTGGCATCCTCTCCGCCAATGATCCTCTTGTTGATAGTCGCCGCGGCTGCTGAAGTGGCAGAAAACGCGAGAGCTAGTGTGATGGTAGCTTTGGGCAACATTGTGTAGGTGACCAGTCGTAGGGCTGTAGAAGAGAAATATATGATACTGCGAAGATTTTTTGCAGCAGTAATTTCAACAGGTAGGTTTTGTTGTATTTATACTTATTACTACTACATGTAAAATATGTGAATATATTTGAAAGACTCGCAAATAAAGGAACCGAGTATCTGCAGTTTGTGCGCATAATTTGTAATTCCCATCTTTTTCATACTTATCTCGTATGGGCTCGCCTCTTGTTTCATGATTTGAGTCATGGAGCGAAAACAGATGCTGCTTCGGCATAAATGCCCCGAACATGGCGAGCAAATCCTGCTAGAGGGACCAGTTGACCTGATGAAATGAATTAAAGCTAAACTTGAAGTCACTAGAAACTTGATCTACATAACAAATAAAGTAAACACGATAAATCCATGTATATAGTTATACTTTGTATCAACTAGAGTAAAAAGAAGCATTCCAACTTAGAAATTCATCCTCGGGTGCTACTTCCCCGCCGTGTTAGTCGTGATATTCACCACTACACCAATCCCGGTTGTTTTCGCTTCCCCGGCGTGCACTTGACTCTCATGTCCAGGGCTAACCAGGCTAACCAGACACTACTGTGTCATGCGTCTGCTTGCTGGCAGCAGACGCCTTGTACTTTTCTGGCCACTGAGCCGGCCTGCTCGTACCACCGAGTGGGAGGACATGGAGGCATTTTACCTCAGTCCAGGCCCCCTGGGCGCGCTTAAAATAACAAGGTAACATTGAATGGCTCCCAAAATGCCCGAAGTAAATTGCCGCCGATCTCTGGCCGACGTGGACCGCTGGCTCTAGAATCTTTGAGCGAAGACGATATCATACTGAGGCGCGCTCGCAATAAACAACGGCGATAACGTGACAAGGGCAGGGTGACTGGGCTCGGAACGTCGCATAAAGCTGCCTCTGGAAATTAATTGAGCAGACTTGATGTGATTGCTAGCTACAATTTCAGTAAGCACTGGATGGGCTATCCGTGCCGCAGACAACCCGCCCGTGATCTGGCGGACATGCCGACGAACCCACATGTCTTTCTCTCATATTAATTGAAACAAATTGACAAATTCGGTAATTCCAGCCTCTGACGACCCAATTACAGTGTGGCCTTTACATAAACTGTCTGGTGTCTTGGTGGGCACATTCTTGGCTGAAACGGTCAATACTTCAACGTGAGCGTTATCGTGACCAGCAAAAGAATAGTGCTCGCGCCACTCTGCTTAACAGTTCTAAGGCATCGACCTTCTCGTTGACAGTGTCAAATCTCGCCTCCATCGTTGTTACACGGAAATGGCTGGTTATATAAGGGCTATGGTCACGGGATTAGGGCAGAAGGTCCTTACCGACTTCTTGAATAGATAGACATCTTTGGTCCCTTTAGGCCTTGAGGAAAACCAAGGACCTTTGATACCAAAGACTGTTATTAGATGAATTGAGTAAATTGCTCCAAGCCCTCTACTGAGCCCTTGCCACAATCGTCCGTTGCAAAGCTCCCAACGCATCATCAATCCTACCACATGCCGCCGCATCCGACACTACCTCGGACCATTGCTGCGGGCTCAACGGCCTGGCTTCTATGGCAGGGGACCTTGTCGAGTCGTAATTGTGTTCCTTCACCCTCGTCCGAAGCAAAGTTGGTGCTGGCATAGACGGTTCGGTCGGGGAGGTCGGGGGCGTTTGGTCTGTCGGTGGTGGAGGCGCGGGACCGGACTCCAGAGCTGAAGTATTTTCGCCGTCGACTTCTCGTCGGGCATCGTTGGCAGAGTCGTCTTGGGGTCGGAAAAGAACCAAGTTTTTGATTCGCCTCACAGCTGTCGGATTCGATGCCATCCACGTCACGGCCCCGATGCCAGATACAGCCTCAGTCGAGCGAGCCAGAGAGACGGAATCAATTGCCGTGCGTGACAAAAACTAGGGCGAGAAACATGCAGGGAGCATCGTACTCTGAAGATGGCCGTGGATACATCGTTCCAATTCCAAATCCGGATGCGGTAGCCGTGTCACCCAGCCATGTTTTGCTCTTCAACAAAACCGGCCCGTGACAACATGGATACTCGGCTTCTACCTCCAACAATCGAGGCCACGCAGACATGACGACGACTTGTCAAACATGTCGAATTGTAAACGCGTCAACGCGCAACCCGTCTAGTCACCCACGACGTCATGTCGGGCCTTCACATGCACTGCGCTATACTAGCGGCGACATGTGACGGCGGTTTCAGCTTGACAGACAGAGTTATAAATCCCCTCATCTTGAAGCAACAATAACTCAACGCAAAGCAACATTCATCTCATAAAACAAACACAATCAACATGGAAAGAAACCCAAAAGACTCGATAAAGTCCACTTGGCGACAGAAAGACCGCTCCGAGTGGACTATTTTCCACTGGGTTTACGACATCTTTGACATTCACCCGGTTAAACTTGACAAGGCCGTGCCGGTGCATCCAAAGACAGACAAGGTGCCGTATCTAAACGACTGGTATCAGCATCGTTGGATTCTCACCCACGCCTTTATTCCCATCGCCCTGCACCACCTATATGTCGTATATACTGGCCACAACCTTACCGCCTGGCAGGCAGGACTTTTATACAGCGCCGCCTTCAACCTCAACGCTATCCGTGAACTTCATCTATTACGCGCACTAGGACACAGGGTCGGTTTCCTTGACGGCGATGTACACGAGCGCGATGGCGTACCGGACGCCAGCGTCAGCAAAGTCCTCTACTCCCTCGTCCTAACATCACTCGTCAGACCAGCCTTTACCGTCTACATCAGCTACAACATTCGCAACCCACCGACATCCATGGCCCTTCTCTGGCTTCCGTTTGAGGTGGGATGCTACGGAATTCTTCTCGACTTCTTCTTCTACTGGTACCACCGGCTTATGCACGACGTTGAAGGGCTCTGGAAGTTTCATCGCACGCACCACCTGACCAAGCACCCTAACCCGCTATTAACGTTGTACGCCGATACTGAGCAAGAGATATTTGACATTGCTGGAATTCCTCTAATCACCTATTTTGCTATGAGGACGCTAGGCTTTCCGATGGGCTTTTACGAATGGTGGATTTGCCACCAGTACGTCGTTTTCGCCGAGTTGGCAGGGCATAGTGGTGTCCGAATGGTGGCCACGCCGCCGAATATATTCAACTGGTTCCTGCGGGTCCTAGATGCAGAGCTTATCCTCGAAGATCATGATTTACATCATCGCAAGGGCTGGAAGCGCAGCGGTAATTATGGGAAGCAGACGCGCCTTTGGGATCGGGCCTTTGGCACCTGTCGTGATCGGGTTGAATGCCACGAGAAGAATATCAACTATGACAACCAACTTGATTTTCCGATTCTATGAGACACTTAAAGTCCTACGATATGAATCGGGACCCCTACGAAACGAATTTGCTTGCGGCCACCAACCGAGAGGACATTCAACATTTTCTCCATTATACGGTTTTTTTTGTGGGTGTTGAGCTGAAGTTTGGTAGCCCGAGTACATGGACTTGCTAGGTTGGAGACGATCTAAAGACTGCAGCGAGCAATCATGGCAAAGACCTTCTCACTTCGGCAACGGGCCCTAGGAGAACTGGGTGCGAATAGCGGCTTGTCGGGGTAAAGGAAGGGGGTTCAACGTCCAACGGCCCATGACGTGTTCCGACCTGTAATATAAGAGGAGTATGTCAAAGCCTGGCGATGGCTCCTGTTGATTGCGAGGCGGAAGATGGGGAACTAGGAGCGAGGGACCAAGATATACACGCTGGCAATTGAAGTATACGACGGGGACTAGGATCGATATCGAGCACACAATAGTAGTTGTTTACTAGGGAATTTCGCAGCCAGGAGCTGGCCTTGTATTTAGTGTTTAATATTGACGGAGCCCATGGCCGCACGTGAGCCGTGTGACCACTAATAACAACAAATCGCAGTGTATACTTGCCTGTAGTTGGGTGCACGTTCATACCTCGCAGTGTAATATGGTATGTCACAAAGTGAACAGGAACTTGACCATGTGGAATATACCTTTCACCTACCGCTAGAAGCCTCCGAGGGTGTTATCAGCTGCACCACCGACAATAATTATAAACTTTCGTGTAGCCGCAGAACAGGCTTCCGAGCCCATCGTAACTCGGGACGATTTCACACAGTCCATAGGTATCTGTCAAGCAAAGCCTGCCCGGGTAATACTCCCTTTCTCCATGTTCAACTTTACAGGCAACACTCAGTCCACTACACGAGGCGATGTAATTACATTCTACTGCTTATTTTCAACATTATTGGCTAATCATCCCAGTTGGACTCTCGAAGTAGGCAAGTGGACACTGCCCTCTCTAATTCCCGGGTAATTGCCATCCAAAAAGTCCTGCGAATAAAAGTGAGCTTTGTCAATCTTGGCCTGTTCATAATTGACAAGCCCCAGACTGCCGCGTACTAATCTCGGCGCCATCCCATCGATAGTGTCGAGAGTGAAGCTATCCATCTCGAAGGGGTCTTCACGAATCATACGCCTACTTCGTAATATCTCTAGTATCTGTAACTCATCTGCCGTAAGATGCTTCTCTATGCCGTCAAGCGTCTGACCTTGTTTCGCATCGTCCTGTAAAGCTTTGGAGTCAAGTTTTCTAAGCTTATCAAACAGGGCGTCTTTCTTCTCCGGCGGAACATAAGTAAACGCCTTGAAGCAAAACTGGAGAATCTTGGAGATTTCCAGTTGTGACACTTTGCCGGCCGCGTCGGCATCAGCAGTACCTTGAATAACTAAGACGAAAAAAAAAAAATTAGTTAAACGACTGCACCCGATGGACATGGTAGTCTTGGGCACTTCATACTAGGCCGGAACAGATCAAATGCCCTTTGGAACCCTTCCTCATCCATGTCCTTGATTATAGGCTCGTGTTGTGTGCGAATTTGCTTGGTAGCACTGCTCACCGCCAAGAAGAAGCGAGTGTAGCTCTCGACCGTCTTCTTGGAGTGCCACGAGCCCGCCGCCGCTTCGCTACAGTCGCCGCGAATCGAGGCCGAAATAGTAGCCGCCGCCGAGAGACCGCCTGTTATGGCGAGGTGGACGCCCGAGGAGAACAAGGGGTCAATAAAGCTCCCGGCGTCTCCGCAGATGCGCGCATTCGGCAAGTGATATGTAGACGCGGTGTAGGACCAGTCACAGGCGGCTCTGACATGAGGAATAAGCTCTGCCTCTGAGAGAAGTTCTCTTATCCCGGGTGCCATGTCTAGGCATTGCTTGTAAAAGTCCAAGGTTGAAGGACGCCCTAGCTCGTGCTTCTTTTCAGTCGCCATCTTCTGGTCTTGGACAATGCCGACGGAGCGAGTGCCATCGTGTAGCGGCATGAACCAAGCCCATCCGCTGGCATCTGTTTGTTCATTAGTACCGAGGGCCAACGCCTGAGAATGTAGGCAAATCCAGTCATGAGAAACTCACCGTCTAATGCCTCAAAATAGGGCGAACCTTCCATGTGTGTCCCCGGACCGTACACATTGTCACTCTTCCAGTACGCCCATATGGCGGCATTCTTGAAATTATTGTTGAACTTGCGGTTCTTTAAATACTTGGTGCTCAGGATACCTTGCCTTCCGCTAGCATCCACGAGGTACTTGTAGGTGATTGATCCGGAAGTGCCATCTTTGCGCACCCACGCGGCCCGGATTCAAGTTGTCTTCGAGGTTCCTATTCATGTCCGGTTTCAATCCATTGGCCACGGGCTCAAATTGAATCGTGTCAACTTTGGTTTCGGAAAAAATTTGAGCGCCACAGGTGCCAGCGTGCTTGAAGAGCAAGTCATCGAACTCGGAGCGAATCAAGTTCCAGGCGTATCCATTAGGGCCGCCTGCCTCGAGAAAGTCGGTGTCTTGGTAGATGTTAGTTTATTTGTGAAGTGGATAGATGTCTGAGATTCAAGGACAAGCAGGAGAAGGAGACTTGCAGGCATCGGGCTGAGCTTGAGCGAGTCGGAAAACGGCACCGTTCTATGATTGGTATTGACTTGTCAATTTGTCATTCAGGGAGGCAGAATAAAGGCGACTCAGGTACCTTGTGGTAGAACCCATATGCATCAACAGTGTCATAAAAGTCTATGAACTTGAAGAAGTGGCGGAGAGAAGGAAGCGTGCTTTCGCCGATATGGTATCTGCGCCAAGGGGAGTGAGCCCAAGCAAGGTATTTGACGCAAGACCAGGACTCCTTGAAAACCACTTCTATCACTAACCTGGGGAACTTATCTGCCTCCAGTACCACGGTCTCGATACCCTCGCGAGCTAGAGCTGCAGCAGCATACGAACCAGCGGGGCCTCCTCCAATGACGAGAACGGTGCAGCTTGGTGGAACGGCCATGACAGGGAGGACGAGAGGGTCGGTAGCGGTGTAGCTTGATGTATGGAAATTATAATGATGCCAGGCTTCCAAGAAACTCAACGCTAGCCAACCGTGTGACGTGTTCGAACAATAAGCAGGAAACGGAAAGGGGTTTAAAATAGCATTTATCTCCAAGTTGTTTTGACTGCCGCTGAAAGACCTCTGACTATCAAAAAAAGCTTGGCTGGCGGTTAACTCCGATGTCCGCAACGTCCGCCGCAGGATTATCAGAGAATGCCTCCATGCTCTCTGCCGCTCCTGATCCCAAGTAAGCACCAGCGAAAGCGGGGAAGGGGACTTGGAATATACCTAATGTATTCCTGAGTTGTATCTGTGCCGTTCTTACATATCTCATTACGTGTTTTAAGGGGACAAGGACAATAGAAGTCAGCCACTACTTTGATTGTGGCGTAGATCCGCAGCATGAAGCTCCAGTGCTATCTGGGACTATTGACTGGCCACGGCCATGGCTGCTGCCAAGCTGTGATTTAATACTATGCATAACCAATAGCTGGATTCGAAAATGTGGTATGGGTGTGTTGAGAAGGAATATATATTGATACGCAAGGTAGGTAGGGTATCATTCATAACGGGCAGTTGAATCTGTGATGTTGCTTGGCGATACGACCCTATTATGAGAAGCAGCAAGGAAACATTGAATGTATAAATGGAACTAGCGGCAGTATAGCAAGAGCTGAATATTCAATCGAACCACCAATTGTGGGTCGAGGACACTTACTGGCTTGGAGATGATGCTACATATGTACATATGGAACCATGGCTCAAGAGCAAGGCTGGCGGGGATCAAGCCGCGAGGTTGTGGAAACGTGGAAGCAAGGTGGCCGTGGGTGCCTTGAGAACTGTTGCACAACCGGGTTTGCACTAGTCAAGCGCATGAAAAGGCGTCTTCTATAGTTATGCAAAAACATGAATGCCTTGGGGGGTCACAGGCTGATTCGTTATAATGTTGAGGTAATATGCTCGGTTCCATTTAAGGGGCGGCGATGTTTGCCGCCTCCTTCGGTCAAGTGTCCGCCCAACTATCAATTGATGTCTATGGAGCACATGAACCAAGCTATCCAAGTGATCCATGTTGAGCATGGGCCTCGCACAACTCAGCCCGGCCAAATTTGTAGTAGGACAAGTCTGTTGTCATTTCGGCCGCGAATCAGTTCTTTTCGAGTGATGAAACCTGCATAAATAGTTGAATCTGGGAGAAGGATAGTATAGAGGTAGGACTACGCAAGCACGTCCTTTTCTGTATAATAAGAACAAAGAAACTACCATAGCTTGTTAAAATCCAACTCGGAGAAGCAAGGCTGAAAGAGATTGTTAATCTAGGCCCCAAATCCTCAGCAAAACCGGGTGTAATAGACTGAGTGTCACGTTCTCCAGCTAGATTAGACTCTAGACTTAACACACCGAGCAAAAGGGTTTCATGCAACTAAATTACTCAGAAAACCAGATACTAGCTCAGAAAAATAGTTCTACATCAAGACACACGACTACAACATAGTACACCTCGCCCGACAGCGAGAGACTCAAGTACAGACCTGCCACAGTCCCCTGAGAGGCATCCCACAAAGTATAAGGAGAGAAATCTCTTGGCAGTAGCTGGTTGGTGAAAAGATCAAGCAGACCCCATTCAACTTTCAGGGGAAGAGAAGCGAAGCGGGGATGAAAGGTGAAGAGCAATCAAGTTAGACCTTGTAAATCATGAGATAAAAATGGATTAACTGTCGACGATATTATATTAGCTTACTAAGGTATTTAACTATTAATTTCTTTGGCCAAGGACACCAGTTGCTGCCTTACCCTTTTATTACTCATAGTAAAGACATGTAATACTAGATGCTTGCCGTGGACGTGTACTCTGGGCGCACGCGAAATTACCCCTTGGGATTTCTGACTTCTAATGTGTTAGACACACACAGCGTATAATTTCTTGTGGTATAACAAGGGCCGATATATAAGGGCTTAAAATAAACTCGTATTTAGCTAATAATTCCCTCTAATATTTAAGGCACTTAATTTTCTCAAAACCTTCAAGGGCGGATAACTCCTTTGTGAGCAAGCGAGCCTGGAGGGCCTAAGGATTCTCAAATTAACTCACTATAAAATAAGTGGCTCTTATAAGGACCAATGTAACTTAAGCTAACCCAATAAGGCAGCTGAGGCCGAGGACTTGTTCTTGAACAGCCGGCGTTTCGTGACGACTTGTCTTCTCGCTGGTATTGGCTGCCTTGGCGCTGTCTGCAGGGTCAAGTGTGGGCGAGGTTAATTATAGGTCCAACTTGCCAATAAAGTTGCATGTATGCATTAAGGAGCCAGTGGTAGGCCATGGCAATCGGCATTAGTTCGAGTATTTCACCAAAATCGGAAGTCGTCCGCGCAACCCCTTGCTGCTGCAGTAACTTGAACTGCTTCGGTTTTTGTCTAATCAACTTTCAGAAAGCATTAAAACACGAGGAGGACCCATGCTTCTCAATTTAGAATGCGGCTTTCCTCTCAGCAAGGCAAACTTATGATCTCCTTGCCAAGGAAATACCAGGGCAAGGTGTGACTAATACGAACCAGCTCAATACGAGCTGTATGACGCAATATGCATTGACTATTAGGGTGGATAATTTTATGGTTAGCCAAGATAGCCTTGAATGGTTATTTATAGTTATTTTGTTAGACAGGAAACCCCGGCAACTCATGGACTATAAGTAAATGACATGCTCCTATGCCTAGCCAAGTGTGTCGAGCCCAGCAACAACTAAGCATTCGTACCAGACGCATTTTATATATTCATTCTGCTGTGAAAAACTGTCAAGATGAAGCACTCCACAATATCCCTTGCCTTTGTAGCAGGCCTGGCCCTCGCCCACCCGGCCCCAAGCCCGCCGTCGGCCGAGACAACATCGTCGTACACACAAACCATCGCAAGCCAGGCCCAGGCCACCAGCGTCGAGATGGAGGCCGAGATCCAGCGCTACTGGACAACCGAGCGTATCCTGGCCATCGACCACGATCCTTACTCACCATCCGACCCGCCCGAGATACCCCCCGAGCTCCGACCGCTCGGGCAAGAGTACTCGGGCAAAGGCGCCGTCCCATCGACTGTCGGCCGGCTCTTCTACTCGGTCCACATGGCAGACGGCTCGCTTCACGATAGCACATGCACGGCAACGCTCCTCCGTAGCCAAAACAAGGCCACGCTCGTCACGGCCGCCCACTGCATCCACACCGGCCGCCAGAGGCCCGGGAGCGAAATGTCGCTCAGCTGGCACGCCAACCTGCTCTTCGTGCCGGGATATCACGACGACGTGCCGCGCGCCAACTTCACCATTGCCCGCGCGTTCCTGTCTAGTCGCTGGATCGACGAGCGCGAGCACTATGTCGACGACCGCGCCTTCATCGTGCTCAACCGACCGGACGCGACGGCGCCGGCGCAGGACATTCAGTTCAAGCAGATCGACCCGCCGTACGGCACACGCTACATCATGGGATACACGCGTTCTGTGGCGTTTGGCCCAAAGGACACTTACCGGTATGGCACACCGGCGTTTACTGGCCGCCGACTCGCCGTGAGCCATGGAACCGCTGAGGACTGGTGGCGTTTCGACCACGAGACGACGGGTATTCCGAGCGTACAGAGCGGCGGCTCTAGCGGCGGGCCGCATTTTGCAGAGTTCAATGAGCAGACGGGCGTTGGGACCGTCGTGGCTGTGAATTCGCTTGAGGACTATAAGGAAGAGGACGGTGTGAGGGTGACGTGGATGCTTGGCGCGCCGGTTCATGACGAGTTTTCAAAGGGTCTTTATGATGCCGCACAAGTTGTGAAGCCGGCGTTGGCCTGAGTACGAAACTACCATGACCTCGGTAGTAAGGATAAATATCATTCTATTCTGATACAAATGTCACAACTGAAAAGTGTCAGTATATTATTACGCGGTAGATAGGGATCAAACTAAATGTACTGTCCTTTGATCCAGATTGGGCATCCGATTTGTAGCCGCTAATCGGTACTTTGACTTCTCAATAACTGCCGTGAAGTGATGCGAGCAATGCCGGCGTCTGACCCTGCCTCTATTCCGGTAACTCTACAACCACACCATTCTCAAGTAGGTCCTCAACTATAGCCTCTTACTTACATTAAGTCGCATACAACAACGGCATCTAGCCGTAGGTATTCTTTGCTTCCATGCCGGTGCCGTTATCAAGTAGCAGCTTGACCATAGACTCGTGCCCATATCTAATAGCACATGTATGCAGCGCCTGGCCGAAAGTATCCTTTACTTTAATGTCGGCGCCATGATCAAGCAGCAGCTCAACTATAGACTCATAACCGTGTCTAACAGCACATATGAGCGGCGTCAGGCCAAAGGTATTCTTTGCTTCAATATCGGCGCCATTGTCAAGAAGCAGCTTAATCATCGACTCGTGACCATATAGAACGGCACATATAAGCGGCGTCTGGCCGTGGGTATCCTTTGTTTTGATGTCGGCGCCATGACCAAGCAGCAGTTTGACCACTGCATCGTGGCCATTCTCTGCTGCAAGCCATAGAGGTGTTCGCCCCTGATAATTCTTAGAGTCTGGATCCGCGCCGTTCTCGAGCAGTAGCTTGACCACTGTATCGTAGCCTCTCTCTGCCGCGAGCGATAGTGGTGTTCGGCCCTGATAGTTTTTAAAATCTGGATCCGCGACGTTCTCGAGCAGTAGCTTGACCATGTCGTAGTGCTCCTTTTCCATGGCTTGCCATGGTAGTGTTCGTCCCCCATACTCTCTAGGCTCTACATCCGCGCCGTTCTCTAGCAGTAGCTTAGCTACCTCGTAATGCTTCTCTTCTACCGCAAGCCATAGCAGTGTTCGGCCATGACAGTCTTTAACGTTTGGGTCGACGCCACTCTTCAGTAGTAGCCTGACTATTGTATCGGAGCCTTCCTCTACCGCTAGTTGTAGCGGCGAAATTCCCCTTTTAAAATATGCAGTTAGCCCGGGGTCTGGATTCGCGCCGTTCTTTGGCAGCAGCTCGGCTAGTAGCAGTCCGGCCACCGCATAGTGTTCCTCTGCTATCGCAAACCACAGTGGTGTTCGGCCATCGTAATCTTTGGCGTTTTGGTCAGCGCCGCTCTTTAATAGTAACCTGACTATTGTATCGGACCCTTTCTCTGCCGCCAGGTGCAGCGGCGTGACTCCATTATCGAAACATCCAGTTGGCCTCAGGTCTGCGTCGGCGCCGTTCCCCAACAGCAGCTCGACAACCACCTCGTGCCCCTTTTTCACCGCCAACCACAACGGCGTTCTTTCATAGTAGTCGATGGGATTGAGGCTAACCCCGTTCTCAAGAAGCAGACCGGCCACCTTGTCGTGACCCTCCTTTGCTGCCAACCACAGGGGGGTCCGCCCGTGGCTATCCGTGGCATCTGCCTCATGTCTGTGCCCGTTCTCGAGTAAGGCTATTATTGACGTTGGTAGTCCGAAATATGCCGCAAGGTGCAATCCCGTCATCTCAGTTGGCTCCCAGAGACAATCGCGGAAGCAATAGTCGTCTTCGTCCGGCATTATCACCTGGGCAGCACTGGACCTTTTGCCATCACTCTCAAGAAATGGCAGGATTAGTCCTTCCACATCACTCAAGGCACCGTAAGAATGGTATCCCCAATTTCGTGCGGCGTAGTCATAAAACCGGTTGGTCTGTAGCCGCCGTTTATATTCTTCGTTAGTTTCGCAGAATCCACTATCGAAGACACTAAATGAGACATAGGTAAGGCAAAGTTTTGTAAGGTTGGTATGAGCGTCTTGAAAGAACTCTGCCCATGATCTCTCAAAGTAGGCCTGGGCCGTGTAATGTACCAGTCGGACGGCATCACTGTCTTTGTCGATGGTGACCAAACCTGCGCAGACCGAGCCAATCACCTCTGCGCTGGGAATGAACTTCTCATCCAGCTCCAGCTTTCCAAGCTGGATTGCGAGTGCATGTTGGAGTTCGACTACAGAAAGCACCCTTCTTGCGTGAACGACCCAGCATAGAATTTGTTCTGCCAGGACTGAAATATTTCCCCCTTGGCTTTGGACTCTTGTCACGGCCTGCTTGTATATTTCATCCAATTCTCTGGGCAAGTTCTGTAATGTCGACTCAATATGCCCGATTGTTGGCTCCCTGGTTAAAGCCTCTATATGTAACGGGGCAAGAAGGAACCTAGTTCTGAAGGTCAAGGTTCAGGATCCAAAGCAGGTAAGGACATGAGGACTAGTTACACACATTCCGTGGATGGCCGCAGCTATTTTGATCTTGATTTTGGCTTGCAAATGAGGTTTGTTTTCGACAAGGGGTAACCTGTGCATCTGACCATTCAGGTATGTTTGCACGTCCTCATCTAAAGCACGGATTTCAAGTGACAAGCCCCCTGTAAACTTGTCTGTAATCTCCTGAATCGGCCTTGAAGTTGCAAAGAGATTTGCTCCAGTTTGAGATTGGAAATTGAAGAGCTCTAATAGAAAGTCTGTCCGGAAGCCTCTGGACTCTTGGCATTCGTCAAGAGCGTCGACAATGATGAAGATCCTTGAATAGGCTGAGGCGGCAGATTGGAGAAGTCTTCGTATATCTCCGACTGGCGGCCGCGTTCCATTTGGCCTATGGTTATTATAAATCATTTTAAGACTCTCCAGCACGGAAGACTGGCTTCCCGTTAGCTGCTTTAATAAACTCGCTACTAAGTTATGGATATTTTGCTTCCCTTGCTCTCGAAAGTTACAGTAGATATATGCAATACCGGTGCTCGTATCTTTAGAAAATCTTTTAGTGAGCTCGTCGACAATAACAGACGTAAGAATTGTCTTCCCAGCGCCGGGAATTCCGTGGCAGAATAAAGTCATTTGACTTGATTTAAGCCACCTTTGGAACTCTTCCGTGTTGAGGATCCATGTGCAAGTTCCAGGTTGTCTTTTCTGCAAGTAGTCACTCTGCTGGGGCCCGTAATTGATAGGTGTGAGCCAGTCAAGGATCTCATTTCGTGCCTCAAGTTTCTTATCTGCTGGCGTTTAGCATAATCCACAGACTCAAACAATGGCTGGGGCCTCATTCATACCTTCCACAAGATCTTGAACTCCTTCGCGCACCTCCGATACATCCTGTCGTATCTCCTGTACTATAATCCGTAGACATTAGCCTTTTGCAGGTAGTTGAAGCGTCCAGACAGCACAGTTTTTTAGTTGGCTCGAGCACTATTTCCGTACATGATATAAAAACTTACACTGTTTGATCATTCTCGCCGCTGGTCCGATATTTTTGACTTGCCTTGGCTTTAGAACCCTTAGGAGATCCTTCGCATATGATGCTGCCACAACCGCAGCATAGGGCTGCCAAATCTTGTGTTTGTGATCGTCGGAGTAGTCGCAGATCCCTCTGATGACGATACAAGGGAAGCTATCCATTAAGCCCGCAGCTTCCATCTCGAAGCACAGAACATCCCACTCGTCTCGCAACTTATCACGAAGCTGGGCAGATTTCATGACCGCATTGCCGGAGGCGATAAGTCCGTAATGAATAGCAGGATTGTCAGACTCTCGATCAAGTCGCTTCTCCACCTGTGTCGCATCACAAGTTGAACAGTTCTCCCCGCCAGAATGAGGATAATCCGACCTGAACAGCTGGTCCTTATCCCCGCCTGGAAACCGGTAATCTCTCAAGGTATTCTTCTTTGTCGACATGAGAGCAACTTCGGCAATGTATTGCGTCATTTTCCCCTCTCCAAAGTCGTGATCGGATTGTAAGAGTTGGACGGCTGTAGATAACACCGTGGGGGGCTTGTTCAAATGTGACTCGATCGAAAATTCGTTGTTTTTAAACTTGCCCATGTCATATTGAACAACGCCACCTTAAGCCTGTTTAGCAAGCCGTAGTAGGACATTGTACTAGCTGACACTCATGGATACTTACCGTGACCTCCCCTGGCAGTACTAACAACAACATCCCCAAGACGGATGTCTTTCCATGGGTCGTCTAGATGAGGCCGTTTTGGAGCTCCTCCGCCCACTCCGACCATTAACCCGAATCGAATGTTGCCAAAACTCTCAACCATGCGCATGGCCGTAATGGCGGCAGCATTTGTTCCGCAAGTACCCGATCCAATAAATGCGATTGCGACGTTGTGTGCTCCCATTCGACCGAGGAAATAGTGGTTCTCGTCGCTTTCGGCCGTTGGGCACGTTTCATGCTCTTCATCTAGCAATGCTCTTGCTGCATTCAACTCTGAACGAAGCACACATATCCATCCCACTGTATATGCATCGTTTGCTAACTGCCGTTTGGCATTGCATTCTTGGGCCCCATTATTGCCGGAGCTTGCTTTTGCTCTCTTTGCTGTTGTATCTGTCGAATCGTCTTTCTCGTTGTCGACTAGGTATCTCTTCAGGTTTGGTGATTGTTGCATCGTGATTATTGGGTTTCGCGATAAGTATCGGTATTTGCGGCGTTCACTTTGTCGTATAGAGCGGTCTTTGGGCATGGAACCGTACGGCAATGATGGGGTAGACTGCGCCTAGTTTGAGGCCTCCCACCGAGCTTTGAAGGAAGACGACGATGATTCGCCCAACAGTAGATACTGAAAAGTGCTGGGCCACTGGAGCGTCAAGCGGACCAAACCCAGGGTCTTTGGGGTTCGATGTCAATGTTGGCTGCCTCAGCACGCCTGCGCGAGCAGACTGAAATCACCATGTTGGCGCACAAGAGGAGAGTAAGAAGAGTAAGGCTCTGTGATACCCAACGAAATTGCCAATAAGGCTGATTTCGATGTTGCAGGACCCATAAAATTTCCTGCATGTCTGGGCGATCGAGTCTCGTCAGCTGAGTGCTGCTTCAAGACGGAATATGAGCCGCGGTGACGGGCTCTGGGGGCATACTACGGCTGATCGACTTGAAATTGCACGCTGAGAGCCTGTCACCTGCATCATATACTTTCGGTGTGGCACTATGAAAAGCTAACAAGACGTTTCCTTGTCTTGCTTCGCGGCGCTTTGGCATCGCAAGCCGTTTGAGAGGCCGCCCGACCAGCGATGGCTCCCTCTTACTGTGGCCTCTAACATTGTAGCAACTAGAGAGGGACTTCAGCCCCAAGACCTCCTTCTGCTACTCTGACTAACAGGATTGTTACATGATATAGTAAGTAGCGTACGTTCAAAGTCGGCCATGATAATCCATGCCGGTCTATTCAGCGGAGTGGAAGGATACACTGAAACATCAATATTTACGTACCTAATGGATACCTTGTTAATAGCCAACAGGCACACCGACTGTGCCAAGGGCTGAGTCAAGGGCCCGGAGTCAATAGCTCAATCCATAGAATAATATAACCGTATGATACCGACTGCTCGTGGTAGAAGTTAGTCGCAGTTGCGGTTGCGGTTTCGGCGCTACATACCTCAGATAAAAGGTGGATGCTTGGAATGAGTTAAATTTACTACTGCGTTATTCTTGTTGTTCCTGCAACGAACTATTAGTAATAACCGCTCGGTTCCAGTTGCGTCCTAGGACGAATGTAGTCGCAAGGTAAGCATGCATGCATCTATACATCCCACAGTGATGCCTAACTATGCGGCCGTTAGGCATTCTTACATGCATCGTGGCAAATTCATAAGCACTGTACTCCGTACCCAGCATTCATCTTCTTTACCAACCTCATGGTCAAGAAGAAAACAAAATAGCGGCTCAACTGAGTTTCCGGTGTTTTATCCTGATTGACACTCACCATGGGCTTGTCTCGGATTATACAATCCTTGAAGCTGAAGCCAAAGGAGCAAAAGCAGCTTCACGGCGGCTTAGGACCACATCAACCACAGCCACAGCAAACACCATCATCATCGGGCAGCAAGCTGGCCCGGAGTGCCTTGCCGCCCGAGGGTATTACAGATTCTCCGTCGACAGATTCAAACGCGGCACCCGATGCCTCTGGAAACGAAGCCTCAGATGCCTCAGATACATCCGATAGGCCCGGTAAGGCTTCATCTGAGCGCTTGTGGTCGCAGGCCTACCAGGATCTCTGCGTACGTGCAGAGCCGGGCCTGATGGACGAGTTTGAAGCACAGCTGGGTGGCCAACCACTTTCCAACTCGAAAAGTGTCAAGGAAGCCGTGATAAAGCGTCTCAGCGAACGAGAAAATAAAAAGTGGCACTTCACTTTGATGGGCAAAACCCATACAGTTCGCGACCAGGCACAGAGGCTTGTTGATCTTCTGACCTTTTCCGACAGCATCGTCAAGCAGGCTGTCAGCACTCAGCCGTATGCAGCCCTGGCTTGGACTTCTGTGTCTGTGCTTTTGTCCGTGAGTAGCCCGTATTATATCAAGTCAGAATGGTTGCTTACTGGCACTTGTAGTTGCTCAATGCTGCCTCTGCCCAGAATCAAGCTCTGGTGGACGGATTTGAGGCAGTGAGTGTTATTCAAAGGTATTGGGCAGCCTGCGAGGATATCTTCCTCTCCGAATCCCAGCAACATAACTACTGTGAACTCGCCACCGAGCTGCAAAATCTCTACTCGTTAATGCTCGAATATCAAGTTAGAGCCATCTGCCATCTCTCGAAAGGGACAATAAAACGTGCGCTCAAGAGCCTGGAAAACGATTGGGGGAATAAATTGAATGCTATTAGGGACTGTGATGTTACATGTAGGAACCTGAATGACGTTCTTTGGCGGGGAGAAGCCCGCGAATCCCAAAGTGTCCAGTTCCGAAAAATGGATGAACACCGAGACCTCCAGCTAAAGGCCTTGCAGGCTGCGGCAGACGAAAGACAAAACGGCAAGGTAAACAACTTTCTACGCGGTCTCACGGCAGCGGCAGGGCAGTACAAGCGGGGGAAGAACATCAATCCTACGCGGGTACCGGGCACCTGTGAGTGGTTTGTTAACAATGAAGACTTTTGCGAATGGCGCGATAGCCAGTCATCTAATCTACTCTGGGTGTCTGCCGCGCCTGGCTGCGGGAAGTCCGTGTTATCGCGGACCTTGATAGATGAGGATTACTTGATAACGGATCTCACAATCGAGGTCGACCCTTCCGGGGTATACACCTTAAGGGGCACAAGGTCAACCGTGTGTTACTTTTTTTTCAAGCACGGAGACAAGTCTCGTGAAAAGATGACGAGCTCTCTTTGCGCAATCCTGCACCAGCTGCTCTTGAGCCATGGCACAGAGGACTTGCTGGATCGTGCAGCGGAGAAATATGCGTGCCAACCAACTATGCTCGAAGACGCTTCCGAGATGTGGAAGATTATCGAGGAATACGTCAACTCTTGGGACACAGGAGACATTATATGTGTCTTGGACGGGTTGGACGAATGCAACAGGGAAAGCAGGGATGAATTCATCCAGATACTACATGATTTCTTTGGTGGTGAGCGGAAGCCCGGCCAGCCTCGCCTAAAGCTTCTCATAACAAGCCGGCCGGAGTATGATTTGCGCTTGTCCTTTGACTCCTTCCCCAACTCGATCTATCTTCACTTTGATAGCGACGACAAGTACGAGGAAATCAGCCGAGATATCAACTTGGTCATCGATTCGAGAGTCGAGTCCATGTTCAAACAACGCCTGCCGCTTGAGGATCAGCGAGCCATCTCTAACAAACTAAAGAGTAAAGAGAACCGCACATATTTATGGCTACATCTTACACTTGAAATTATAAGAAGAAAGCCTGCTTTCTATGGCAGATTGAGAGATATTGACGATTTTTTAAAATCTCTGCCAGCTACGGTGTCTGATGCGTACGAGACCATTCTTAATCGAAAAGCTATGGATCAAGAGGACAATGCAAGGAAGACAAGAGCTCTGCTTGAAGTTGTCCTAGCAGCAACGCGACCTCTTCATCTCGACGAGGCTAATTTCGCCTTGACAATGGCCCTACAAAAAGATGAATTCAAATCTTACGAGCAGTTCAAAGCCTCAATATGGCCAGGGGACTTTAAATCGGTGGTTAAGGACCTATGTGGTCACCTCATCAACGTGTATGACGAGCACCTCTTCTTCATACACCAGACCGTCAGGGAATTTCTCCTAGCAGAGAATGAAGAAGGCAAGAATTGGCAGGGTAGCTTCAGTATGCTTGGAGCGAACAAAACCATGTTCGAATCCTGCGTCAATTACCTCACTTTGCCTGACTTCCCTGTCGAAAATGTGTTGGTTGAAGCAATCGATAAGACTGAATCTGAGCAGCGCACGCTGCCATTACCTCTTGAGAACGATCCTGGCAATTGGGGCTTTGTACCCGAGAATACACACCACTTTTTCATGCATTCTTCTCTATACTGGCCCTACTACTGTCATTCACAAGTTGCCTCGGACAATGAAAGGGTTTCTAATCAGCTCAGGAGACTTTTCCGGCCGTCCAAATCTTCTGCACAGCTTTGGTTCACGTTATTCAACGCCAAGGATGGCATATTCTCCTCCACGAACCGCAAGTGGACTGAATTGGCTGCAGCGAGCCGCGCTGGGCTTTTGCCGGTTGTGAATGCTATATGCACCGAAAGCAATGCCAGTATCAACGCAGTGGTCGAAACAGTCGGTTCAGCCTTGTACGTGGCAGCATATCACGGTCACGTCGGCGTGGTTGACGCACTGCTATCTTGGGGCGCCGACTTCAACATTCGGGGAGATGACGAAAGGTATACACCCCTACACGCTGCAGCAAAAAATGGCCATCGAGAAGTCGCTCAGCTGCTTCTTTCCAAGGGCGCAAAAGTTGATGATACGACTTCTGGTGTTCAGAAAACGCCATTATGCTGTGCGGCAGAGGACGGCCGCCTCGAGACAGCCAAGACCCTTCTTGCTTTCGGGGCCAGCGTCAATGGTTCTGGTGACGAGGCTGTCATGACGCCATTGTACAGTGCCATACATGGAAATCATTGTCAGATGATACGTATGCTTATTTCTGAGGGTGCCGATGTTAATAGGCATACTCATTTTGGTATACCTATATGCAGGGCAGCATACCGCGGCCGTTACGAAATAGCCTGCATGCTTGTTGACGCAGGTGCTAATTCTGGCGACATCGGTAGGGCTCTTCACATCGCTGCGGGATGTGGCTACTACAGGATGGCTCGGATGCTTCTTACAGCCGGTGCTGATGTGAATGCTAGATATGGTTATCGACACCAGTTAAACACGCCATTATACGAAGCCACAGTGAATGGGCACGAGAAAGTAGCCCAATTGCTTCTTTCTAAGGGTGGTGACGTGCTTATCACGGAGGGGACACTTGCATGGATTAGTTGCAACGAAACAATATCGAAATTCGTTCGCGACAAGGTTGGAAATGCAGTCCCAATAACACCACATTTGCTCTTGGCCGTTGCAAGGAATCGGCAAGGCGGAGATCAAATCATGGCCGTCATTTTGGACAAGCGAGGCGGCGATGTTCAAGTAACAGAGGAAGTAATCGAGACTCTGTTAGAGAACTCATACGCTGGATATGACCTCATGAATGTCCTAGTCCAGCAGCATGCAGATGACAGTCAGACGGCTGAAAGCTTGGTCCAAAAGGAGTGGCGTTCTCATTTGAGGTATGAGCAAGTGCAGCCGTTTCTTAAGCAGCACCCTATCACGCGAAGAATGATGATGGCCGGCGTGAGAAACATTCATCAATGGAGGGAAATCGTAGAGCTGCTTATAAAATACAGAAGAGATGAGTTCCTTGCCATATCGAACGATGAGCATGAAAACTTTGGAGATGCTCGGGGTCGTTTTCGACGTTGGCGGGTTGTGGACCTCCTTCGGCGGCTTGATCAAGCTCGGGCAAGACATTGATGGAGACGCGTTAATAACATCAAGTTGATGGGAAACCAGGTCGATCGTTCCATAATTTCTATCCTCCAGCTGTTGCTAGCAGTGGATAAGAGAAACGACGGGCACGACATGATTTTAGTACCAAGACACATATTAGAACACGTGTAGGCAAATGATGGTTCTTTCGCCATGGCATCTAGCTAATTAGAGTATCCGAGTCGGATAATGCAGCGAAGATATGATTTAAATCACAACTGAAGAACTTTGGCTTTGCGAGAACGCCTAGGCTTGGCAGTAGAGATCCTCTGGGCTCGACGATGAAGGACAGAAAATAACTGGAGGTTAGTTATAAAGTGTGTCAAAAGATTGTTGTTTACAAGGTAGATTTAATATTTCACAGATGGTGCTATTAACCGTGCTGCTGAAGACTTATCTCAGCTTTGAGTTAGATTGTAGATTGACGAAGATGTATTGCGTCCCAAACCAGTAACCGCGACCGGTTGACCATTTTGATTGGCAGAACCATAGTCTGATATAGTAAGTACATATGTAGCGTAAATTCAACATTAAGATGCGGCTAGGGTTACGGTTGCGACGATATGTGCAACACGATTCAGTGGAACCGAAAAGATACTTGCAGTTTAGAAATAGCTATCTCATATGGAAAGGTACATATACACATCAATTGATGTATTCAAAAGTCAATGGCTGAGGCAGATGCCCTGCAAGCAACTACCAGGCACTTTGAGCGCGAGAGCCTGTTACGCTAGCGAAGCTTATATCCCCAAACCTCATATTATTGGAACGGCAAAGCCACTCATAGTCCTGCATCCTCTTATTTGCCATCACTTGATAAAGACCCACTCCATTCGACGTCTCCCAAGTTGTGGCGGTTTGAAGCTGAGTTGTGTGGTTCGTTCTATATGGGCCAGACTGTTCTACGCCTGCTCAGGTGCTCAACACCAAACCTGGACGGAGCACGAGAGTCAACTTGCTTAATCCAAATCATCAATTTTTGATGCACTATATCAGCAAACTTTCTATGCCTCAGCGCTTAGAATCGTACCGTACCCTGTAGTGCGCAAGAGGCATCTCAACTTGAGAGCGCTACGGGATCTCTTACAGTCGCCGGGTGAATGTGGAAGCACATCAGAGTCGGTGATGCCCATGTCTACCGAGTTTCTAAGCAGTCACAAAGTATCAGAGCAGAATAGTTGGGCAGCCTACAGCTCCGTCCTACGAATCAGCATTTTCGCCGTTGATCAAAACCAGCTCTCCGACCCAGACATCTTTGTCAACTTTCGAGGAGATTCGCGACAGAGTTTCTTCACTATCGGAAATAAGAATCATGACTCAGCCAGAAGGAAAAAAGGCCAAGGACCGAGATCCAGGATCGTATTATGACCAGCCAGAAGCCCGGGTCCAAAATGATGACTCTCGGTTTGACTTGAGGTTCTTTAACACTAAATTAGAATCTCTTAAAATTGGTACTATGCTAATCATGTCTCATATATTTTTCAGCCGCTGGTGGCTCGTGTCATCTGTTTTCCCCATGATTGCAGGAAATCTAGGTCCTATTGCGTCGGCATTTAGTATTTGCTCCCTATGCCAGTCATGGGTGCAACCAAGTTCCTCACCGACCAATATGAACGAAGTGAACCTTATTCCCGACCCAGCGTGGTAGGTAGTCGCGGGAAAGAACCTACGAGATGATGCGCTAATTGCTGGCACGATTGAGCAGGTTAACGGCTCTGAAAGCCATACAGCTGTTCTTGGCTCTCGTGTCAAACATGTTCCTCCTGTTAGACATGACGAGAAAGGTTCGCTTCACCATTGCCGAACCAATCACAATAATAGGCTGGTAAGGCGCCGTAGTCTTCCACGCGGCAAAGTATGCTAAAGCACCATGAGGTATATTTCTGCCATTTGCCTCGTGTGTCTTCATGCGATCGCATCTGGTCCCTTGCTCAACAGCCTGGGAATATCCGCAGACGAGAAGATATGGTCACAGGCTTTCTACTACGGTATATGGTCTGCCATTTTATACTTTGTCGCAGCGTCAATACTGGTTATTACATTCTGGGGCTCACTACACGGCCATTACGAGGAAGACTTTAATCTTAGTCACAGTCAGCGAACGCTCATGCTGCAAACCATGGCATTTCTCACGTTCCTACTTTTAGGCGCCCTCTTGTTCTCCAAACTTGAAGATTGGAATTACCTCGACGGAGTCTACTGGGCTAATGTAACGCTTTTCACCATTGGTTTTGGCGACATCGCCCCCACCACGGTACTTGCGCAGGCTTTGCTGATGCCTTATGCTCTTATTGGTATTACTAGCCTCGGCCTTGTCATTAACTCGATCCGAAGTATGATCGTCGAGCGTGGGAGCCAGCGCCTCGATGCGCGGGCAGAGGAGAAGAGCCGTCTAAACACCCTGCGGAAACTCGTTCGCAAGGGAAAGGGCGACATGTTAACCCCCCTTGAGTGCGGTGATTCACCCGCCAATGTCTCCATCACAGAGCTCGAGCGGCGTTATTTGGAGTTTGGGTTAATGCGTGCCATACAAAAAAGGGCGTCCTCTCGGAGAAAATGGACAGCACTGATTATCTCGGCGGTGTCCTGGCTTTGCCTGTGGCTCTGTGGCGCCGTCGTCTTTTATAGATGCGAGAAGACGGGCCAAGGCTGGACCTACTTTGATGCTGTCTATTTTTGTTTCATAGCATTTACGACAATCGGCTACGGCGATCTGGTTCCCAAGTCTAACGCCGGCAAGTCGTTTTTTGTTTTCTGGTCATTGATCGCTCTGCCGATTCTCACCATCCTTATATCCAATGCGGGCGACACAGTCATCAGGGTTATCAATGACGTTACAATCCGAGTAGGAAGCATCACTCTCCTACCTGGGCGTGGTGGATTCGGCCACAATATGAAGCAACTACTGCATCAACTGAGCTGCGGCTACTTGTATTCTGTGTCTGAAGCAGAAGAAAGTTTCGACTTGGAAAAGGGAACCGCTCGACCGAGCGGAACTCCGGAGCCGAGGGTATCCAAGCTAAAGGGTAGGGATGGCCAAAGCCATGATATTGATAACAGCACTTCAAAAACCTTGGCCTCCCGGACGGGAAGTCCAGGGTCTTCGCGTAGCCATGCACCGAGACAGTTTACCCCAATCCAACGATTGGCTGCTACTTGCAACGCCAAACTTGAAAATATTCCCACGGGGGACGACTTGCATTTTCTGCTCATATCTGAAATACAGACGGTGGCGAAAACTATCCGTGACGACAGGCATCGAAGGTACACGTTCCAGGACTGGGCGTGGTATATGCGTTTGATCGGCGAGGACGAGCGCGATCCAGACGCTCATCGTGCGGTGAGGACGAAAGAACGAACAAAGTCGATAAAAAAGATCGGTTCAGCAGGGACAAAGATGCTCCATCGTCAGCCGAGTGTGCAGCGACATGATGAAGACGACGAGGACCAGACTGAGCGGAACCAGCAGCCAACCAGAAACAATACCTCTCCGCTTAAATGGTCATGGGTTGGGAATCAAAGCCCTCTGCTTAGCAGGAAAGAGGAGAGCGAGTGGATATTGGAGAGGCTGTTGGAGAGGTTAAGGGAGCTGCTGTGGGAAACCAGCAGACAGCATCAGGAGAATGTAGCTGTATAGCCGTGACATGGGTTCCATGTTACATTAAAGTTTTGTGTGATGTAAGTAGTCTAGTTTGGAAAATTATATGGCGTTCTGTCCATAGTTCTTTGCTGCAATACTCCAGACAGGAGTGCCAAAGGGCTCAGATGTCTTTCCCAACACACTGGGCGCAGATGTTATATAAGACGGGCTGTTTTGTGCGTTTTATGTTTCAATGTATTTCCGGTGTTCGCTAACACTAGCTTGACTATACATGGATCTTATGTAGCCATCAGCCTCGGATTGCATTATGGTCAGTGGCAATTGGCGCCTTCGGATTTCGCAGGATCAAAGCGTTTTGCCCGGTATTCACGTTGTCACAACTCCGAGTGGTCTACTGAGAATGACGCTGGTGTACGCAAGAGGTGAACGCCACCAGTAGCCCCGTGGTTTGCTCACTGGGCTGATGAATGTTGCTGCTACCTGTAAAGGCCATATTAGACGCCTGTGGTACACGATTACCAATACTTGAGGAATTGACGTTTCCACAGACGGTTACCTAAGATATGAGTTAAAAAGGGATGTTTCTTCAGGTTAAACTTGCATCTATGCCAAGCAGAAAGTGAAAATAATGGTATCATGGGGCGACCAAGCGCCGGCATCGATGTACACGTTTCCATGTCTCCATGCAATTGAGACGGCCTTATCTATCCGTGGGCATCCCGGATGACCGGCAATGACTTTGGGCATGAAACTTCAAGGCAATCTTGTCGATATACGGAATAGGGCGGCCGACATCACTGGGATAAAGCGGACCAGTGTGCGATCTGTGTGCAAAAGGAAACATCCAGCTCGACACACTTGACGTGAAGGGGAAAGCAATGGCCATCTGTGTGAGGTAAATTCCGTAACCACGGCAGAACTCGTAGCCCTTTGAAGACTTCAACACTGTAGTGCTCTAGATTTTCGACTACAGCGACAGAGTCGTAACGGTCGACTGATACCAGACCAAATATGCGCATCGGGTATCGCGGGTGTACTTCAGCGACTTGCTCGTCGGAGCATACATAGGTTTAGCCAGATCAGTTCCATGCCGCGAGACGTATTTGGGAAACACCGGCCTCGGGCATCTTGGCATATATATGTAGCCCTAACCCAGTAGTATACATCAAACGTTCTGCCATTTTGTATGGTGAACTTTAGGCTCCATCTTATCATCATATTCCTCACCGGGGCTTCTTATTTAGGTTCCGCACTTAATTAAGTTACGGTTTAAAACTAAACCTGGAACGCGGCACGCAGTGGGATGATCTTGACGTCATCCGTCAACGACGTATATAATACAGGGAATAGGTTAAAGTGATAGGTACCGTTTTTCTCCTCCTGTTATGCAGACTAATACTTTCAGGTCGGCAAAACTTGACCGGAATTAACATTGAACACTTCAGTGCAATTTTAAAAGGGATTTCGGGTGAAGCGCCGGATCTGGTACTCTGCCGGATTTACACCAACCAGTCTACGACCCATCCATAACGTTGTCTACAAGTCGGCGTAAATCTAGAGCAAAAGGTTACTGGAGGGCTAATCACTCTGGCCAAGTCCCACCTGTATTAAAATTGTCTTTATATTGATCAGAGACTTGAGATGAAATGACGTTTGAGTTAAAAGACAGGAGACCCCTCCGCTTCCATTCATTCGCACTCGGCAAACAACAAAGTTTAAACGCATACCAAAGCAAAGTCCAGAATTCGCACTTGGACGGACTGCTAAGGCATTTGGTAATTTCTGGCTTGTCCTGACTTTCCTTGTTATATAAAAATTGGGGGGAAGCGACGTCATATTCTGGCAGACGCATGCCGGGAAGGTAATCCGGGATCGATTGCCATCTGGCGATGCGCGTATCAATTTGCCTTTGACTGTGAGAGCTAATTTTGGGTTACTACCAAAAACTTGAAAGTTAATTCATTAACCTATTTTTATAGTTTCTAGTATTTTATTGGTTCATTATAGACTCGAATGTATTTAACCTACACGGCAACTTCTAGACTGCTCTGGATACTACAAGTTACTACGTGGTATCTAGTAACATGTTTCCTTATATATCCGCCTCAATAATGGAGTATTACGCGCTTACAAGTAGGAGACGAAAATGTATAAATGTCTACCTAACCTCGTAGAGTTAGTGATATTTTTCTCTCAATTCTTATCCAATACTATTCACTCTAATCTATCACGCTATCTTAAAATTTCTCGCGCCATCTGATCAATCTGAGCTACATAGCTAAAACAATGCTCTTGGCAAACTTGCTTGTTCTTGCAACGGCCGCTGTAGGCGCCGTCGCCCAATACGACGACGTTCTATACGACTACGACGAAGCGCAGTCCATCCCAAGACCAGCAGTAAGTGATTTCGCCCCTCCAAAGCAGACCGTTGGTCTCACATAATGCAGGCTGAGATCTACGAGAAAGAAAGGTGCTTGCCTCCTCCGGCTCTTTTTGTTCATTTTGAGTGTAGCCCGCTTGATCCTAGGTAGGCATATGAAACCCTCGTCGAGTAAGTTCCCTTCTGACAAAGGCAAACATAGATATTTCAAGTCAATCAGGGTCAATACCGGTTATGGTTGCCTCCTCTATACGTAGGTCCCTTGCTTCACGCTTGGTAGTCATGTTATTAATATCGCACAGCGGCCCAGGATGCACTGGGAAAGTGTTGCCGCCGCTCAAGCCCGACTGTCACGACTTAAGTCCCTATGCACGCTCCGTAAAGTGCTTCCCGGAGAATTAGTACCCTTCGATATGGGTTGGGACTCTCGTCGGAAGCCAGTGGCCTGGCTGAATCTGGCGATATGGAACTGGATTTCCTCGACGCCTTGGTACAGGTTTTTCTCCCCTTTAATCGGGGTTTTCCCTGCACTATGTTGCAAATGCAGAGGCTTCATTTCTCTATGAGGATGTGCACCTATTACTTTATAATTGTAATGTCAAATGCATAATGTCAATGTGCCAAAGTCCGGCCTTACAAGGCCTCATGAGTGTCATCACAAACCCGACCTAATATACTGTAGAGGCACAAGGTGAACCTGTCCGGTACTTTTGTCGTAAACTATACAACTCTCGTTATAAAATTCCCCCATAATCGGGAGAGGATGAACAAGCTGCATGGATGTCAAGGCATAGCTTACATGCGCATGGGTATCATGAAATGGGAATTGCTACACGGGCATG